TCTCTCTCTCTCTCTCTCTCTCTCTCTCTCTCTCCCCCCCCTCTCAGCTGACAGGTTGTGTCAGTGTAATGAGCTGTCTGCAGTGTGTGACATTAACTGTTGCTGTGACAGAGAGTGTTCAGAGGAGGTGTCTCTGTTCACCAGCTGCTCCGTCTCCTCTGTCAGGAGGTAAGGTCCAAACAGACCAGGGCCGAGCCCTGACCCACTGACACCACTGACATCTGTTTATACCGTCTGTGGATTTAACACAACACCACAGTAAAATGAATATCACATTGTTTACTTTGACATTAGATCAGTCGTTTCCATATTTCCTTACAAATACAGCTGACCACTGGAAATGACGGGTTATGTTCTTAAAGTACCCGCAAAACGGGAAAAAACCACAACTTTGGATGTAGGGAAAGAAAGAATCTACTTTATTTTTTGTGTGTATATTTATTTTTCCACAAAAAAGTAAACATTGGGGAGGATATCTATGGTTTCTGAATAAAAAAACAATAAATAAACTGAAATTCTATCAAATCTGCAAGTTTTGAACTTCCTGATTATAATAATATGTTTGTGGTTTCAGGAAACGCTAAGAATGAACTTTGACTTATTTATATGAAACTGATCCTCTTTGGATCTATGTGGTTCATGTTTTACATTATTCATAATAAATAAACTCCCATCAGAAACAGAGACAGATTATCTGATCTTGTTTTTATCCATCACAAGATGGCCTTTGTTCAAAACCCTAACTAAATGTAACAGATTATATGTTGACCCTTTATTTGACTAAATGTGATGTAAAGAAACTTTGAAGCTAAAGTTGGTAAACAGGTGATCTGATGCTCCAGAACAATACAAAGTAGAATAATATCTGTTTCTGCACTTGAACAGCAGAATGCACTGCATCACTGCTGCAGATGATGCTCCTTGTCTGAGTGTATGTGTCAAACACTTTGCAGCGTCAGTGAGCAGCTCTGCAGCCAGAACACAGCTCAGTACTCTGTAAGGACCAGGATCGATGGTTACTCAGAGCTGCAGGCAGCTTCCCAGACGGAGACCAACCCTGATGTCTTCTGCATCCAGTCACACAGTGAGTCATCACATGTTTGTTGCCATTAAAGGTGGAATCATAAAGGGTTGTCTTTGAGTTCAATCTGTAACAGACTGATATGTTCATGTTGTACCCCACCGAGGCTCCGCCCCCAACACTGAACAGAGTTAGGAAGGTACAGAAGCTGGTTACAACAAACACAGAACAACAATAAAATAAAATAAAATCTGAAAAATCAGACATGAATCAACAAATGCAATAAAATATAAACCAGGATGATTCTGGTCAGAACAGCCCACTGACGGTGTCTGAAACAGAAGGTAATAACTAGGATCAGGAGCTGTGATGAATCAAGATTAGGAGGTTAGAACAGCGAAGGGAGCTCACATTGGAGGGAATCCTGTCAGTCCGATGGGAGAAACTGAGGAGGTTTGATTGAATACTGAGGATAAAATATAATAAAATATAAAATATAATAAAACTGAGGATAGATTTGAAGATTGTTCAAATCTGTAATATTTGGTCTAAAAATGTGTTTTTGCTGCTTATATGGGTAGAGCAGTGGTACTGCAGGCTAATTTACATATTGGTTAACG